TGTTATTTATGAAATACGGTATCTTTAAATAGAAAACACACATATGTATTGATTGGTTGACAAAAACATCATGACTGGAGGCTTGTAGGAACCTAACCCTGTATTTCCCCCTAGGAGCAATTGTTCAGTATTTGTTAATTCAGTGTTGGCAGCAACTTTATGGGATATACTGCATCAAATAATGAGAATTAACCGTACTTAAATACTTATAACATTGTTTAGGACTGCATATAACCTGAAATACTAGAATTAATTTGTTCATGAATACTGTTTGAATGAGTATAGATTGAAATTGTGCTAAAGTTTACTAATGTATTTTATAATCATCAAACACATTCTGCCTATTTAAAACATGTTGATTCCAGAATAATCAACTCTTATTCCATAAATAAATGATGAACTACAGCATAGTTTGATGTGGCTCATATATAAGACATTACTGCCTAAGCTATTATAGCTGTCTTGGAAAGAGATCGAATTCTAAGAGCCTATTTTTGTCAGTTATTTCTTATGAAGAAAAAAATGTGTTCAAAACCACACCATAAGTGTGACAGCAATAAATTCTCAAACATATTATTTGGCTATAGGAAGCATTCTTAGAACTAAGAAACATCTGAAAAAAATTAAGAGATATGGAATTAGAAACTAATTTTATCTTTTTGAGGAAAAAAGATATTCACAATTGAGTTGCCTGCTGATCCTGAGTTTATTTTTGTAGTTATTGATCCTTCCAAAGTTCTCACTGAATAAATTTCTTTGCAACGCAGAAGATGAACTCTCCTGAACAATAAACTGAGCTATATGTTTTCCCCTGGAGGGCAATAAAAAAGAGAACTGGGATGGAAGTCAAGAGCCCAGTATTCCGTTTCTGACTATCCCATTTATTCTGAATGAGTCATGCATGTGCTTTCATGACAGCCATTTCTTTATATTTCTCACTTAGAAAGGAGAACTGTAGTAGATGCTCAGCTGCCCATGCCAGTTGGCACAAAAAAAAAAAAAGAATGACAAAGCTCGATAACCTGATTGCAAATGTGTTGCAGTGCTAAAGTGGTAACAGTAACAATTGTGAGTATTTATCCTCCACTTGCCAGGCACTCCTCAGTTTGCCTGGCACTGTGCTAGGCAGTTTATGTGTGGTAACCAAATAATCCTCCCAATAGCCACACAAGGCATTCCCATTTTCAGAGCAGAAAATGGAGGATAGAGAAGCCTACTGACTTATCTGAGTTCATTCTACTAATAGATGAGGGTACCCAACTCCATTGCATGAGGTCTTGACCACCGCTTGTTTTCATGTGTGATTTCAGGCATGATTTTAACTTTTCACAGTTTTGAAGTTCTCATGTGATGGTTTAAATGTAAGTCACACCCCGCTGACCAATATAGGGAAATTTGTTCCTGCTGTCTCTCAAGAAAGATGATTATTCTAGCAGCCATGTCCACAATAGCCAAACTGTGGAAGGAGCCTCGGTGCCCATCGAAAGATGAATGGATAAAGAAGATGTGGTTTATGTATACAATGGAATATTACTCAGCCATTAGAAACAACAAATACCCACCATTTGCTTCAACGTGGATGGAACTGGAGGGTATTATGCTGAGTGAAGTAAGTCAATCGGAGAAGGACAAACAGTGTATGTTCTCACTCATTTGGGGAATATGAATAATAGTGAAGGGGAATATAAGGGAAGGGAGAAGAAATGTGTGGGAGATATCAGAAAGGGACACAGAACATAAAGACTTCTAACTCTGGGAAATGAACTAGGGGTGGTGGAAGGGGAGGAGGGCGGGGGGTGGGGGTGAATGGGTGACGGGCACTGAGGGGGACACTTGACGGGATGAGCACTGGGTGTTATTCTGTATGTTGGTAAATTGAACACCAATAAAAATTAATTTATAATAAAAAAAAGAAAGATGATTAAAATAATGGCCATAATCCTTAGTAATGTCATTGAATCAATCAATTGATCTTATTTATCATTGTCATTGATTCAATGACATTACTAAGGATTATGGCCATTATTTTAATCATCAGAAGATAGAGATTTTGAATCTTTATCTTTGTACAGCAAATGGACTATTCGCAAATAAGTATATTAAGAAAAAACTGAAGAGAGTGATTGTCCTTGTTCTGTTTGGCTCTATTTGAGCAAAGCCTTTGACAAGACAGGAAAGCAGCTGTTTATAAATTTTGAAGTCTAGGGACTCACTGACTTTATTCTGAGGGTGCCTATATCTAAAGTAGCTGAATGAAATTGTATCAATCAAACCTTAGCATTCCAAAACAGACTAAGCTAGATGGTACAGTTGTTTTTTTTTTTTATAATATCTCCTCAGAGATATTTCTGTCTTTCTTTCCCTGCCAGGCTGCATTTCTTTTTAATGAAGTGCATCTTATCACTAACTTATGAATGTGTAAGACATTTTCTCAGGGTGCATTATGTTAGGAATGCTTTGCAATCAAATTACTCAAGATATCCAGTCTACAAGGACTTCCTCCCCCATTATTAGATAAGCAACACAAAGAAGTAGTAAAGACATCTAAAAGTACACCTAGACATAGGGTGGGGGGACTTTTTTTGAGTTCTAGAAAGCAAAACAAGACATGTGAAGGATGGGACACTCACGCTAGTCTTATGACTCTTGACCACATACATCCTAGATGCAAATCAGTTCATCTTGATCAAACGTCATGTGCTCAGATGACTGAATATAAGGATGGGAGGAAAATACCCCACTGCTGCCTCTGTAATGATCACTCACTTTCTTCCACCGGGTAACTGAAGGGGAGCCTGGGGGAACTGGAGGCCTAGCAGGTTCACTGCTTCATGAGATGTGCCCCCCAAGTACAGAGCCTGATGGGCATTTTTATCACGATCAACAGTGAGGGAATGGGTTTTAGGAAGTAGGTCTAACTTTGCATTTTTGTTTTAGCTAAGTTGGTCACACAGTTGAGAGTAGACGTTACTATGAGGCACTTTGATTTTAAAACAGGAGAAATGCCTTCAGATTGTGATTAGAAACTGACAGTTTTCAAGTGGTTGTTTAAAGTAGTTGGCGGCTTATAAAGAATTCACATTTACAGCATTCTGCCAATGGTACCTCCATTATTCCTTATGGCTGGGGCCACATGACCTGCCCAACCAGTCTCTTTCCTAAAGTGCTTAAGCTCCCTATCCTCGGGAATCTTCCCTCTGCTTCGGGAGAGGGTTTTCTGGTTTCCAAGTTTGATGTGTCTCTTCCCATGGCTTGAGGAGAGAAAGGGAAGGGGGTCCCTTGGGATCTTGGCCTTAAGTCTTCCTGAGAGCTGAAAATCTTCTCCCATCTTCCCAGAGCAGCCCCACACCAGGTACACCTGGACATGTGCCTAGAGAAACGCATGTGACAAATATTGTCTCGTGGCATTGACTGTACATCAGAAATTTTCTACCCTTCACTACACAGGAATGCCTAGAAGCTCTGTGAACACAGAGCCCACCCAGGTTAGTTTTGGCTCACTTGTGAATACTCGGTATTTTCACACAATGCCTAGCCTATAACAGATGCTCAGAATAAAATTTATCTACTGATAAGTGTCATTTTATAGCTGATTAAATAAGGAGGTCATGTGATGTGATGAGCAATGGGTATCATATGCAACTGATGAATCACTGAAAACTGCATCTGAAACTAATGATGTACTATATGTTAGCTAATTGAATTTAAATTTAAAAATACAGTATTGTGGTCATCTCAATGGAAAGTTAGTCCTCAAACTCTTGGACTAGAATACAGCTTCCTAACATAACTCCAATGGATAAAGTAGATTTGACCTCATCAGTTCAACTCACTCTCAAAGTTTGAGAATAACCTGTACTGAAGAGACGTTGTGGTTGTTAGCTGCTGGGTGTAGACATGCATCATTTGTGTTTCCTTTTTTTTCTTTCTTTTTTTTTTCCTTCTGTCACTCCCCTTCATTTCTGTGCTTGGTTTCTTCCCTACCACAGTTGATGAACAAAAATGGTGTTAGGGTGGGGACGGTAGGAAATTCACGAAGACACAGATTGGGCTATGCAAGACCACTTTTTATCCCTCTCTGTGATTTCCCCCCTGTGGATGTATCTTCTGAAGGCTGGGATGACTCCAGCCCTTCATGTGCATGATCTTCCATAAGAGAGTTCATGGAAGGATTATTTCCTTACATGGCATAATTTTCTGCTTGGCTCTTGTGAGGTTTCTACTTAGGGTATATCCTTTCTTCTGTTTGCAAATCAAAATGCCCAACGACATCATCAAACCACATTAGAAATAAAATGGACCAATGGCTTCATTTAGTGAAAAAGCAAATGCTTACTGTCCTTGTAACGATCCCCAGCCAGCAGCAACCTGTTCATTCACAGATACTGTAGTTTATGCAGTCTGCAAATAACCTCACTGTAACGTTCATTAGATACGTTCACTGTAACGTTCATTAGATAAAGCAGGTTGGTTCAAATAACAGCCCCAGCATACACCCCTTTGGCAGGGATTTTATGTAACATTCTTCTCTATGGGGTTGTTTGATCCCCAAAAGAAATTGGTAGAGATCAGCGTAACTCAAGAAGAGTCAGAAAATACGCAAGCAAGCGAAAAGACAAACGTCCAGCAGGCAGGCTTTGAACTGTTGGGAGCAAATGCGACGGTCGTGGCGCCTTTGATGTTGACAGGAAAAGTTCAGGGTAGGCCCTGAGAAGCGGGGGCCGTGACATTATCTTTCAGAATTTAGTGTAGCGTTCCTTGGAGCCTGCTGCGGTGCGCCGGCCGCTCTGGTGGAGGGGAGGGGCCCCCTGAGGCCCTGCGCCTCGACTCGGACACCGAAGCGGACGCGTGCGGCCGGGGGAGCGGAGGGGACCCGCCTTGGTTTCCCGCGAAACTCTTAAGCCCAAGTGCGGGGGCAGGGCGGCGTCTGGGCAGGGGAGGAAACCCGAGCCGAGCCCCTCCCTCCCTCCCTCCCTCCCCCGGGGAGCCGGCACCCGGGCACCGCAGGCCCGGCGCGAGGACTGCAGACTCGCCGACGGCGGCCGCATCCCCAGGGGCCGGGGCGCGCCCGGTGGAAGGTGGGAGGCGGAGCTGCCTTGCTTCTGGGAAGAGACCAAAGGAATGAGTAATCGGGCTTTCTGTAACTTAGACCCTTCTCCTAAAGCCTTCGCCCTTTCACCCCAAGCCCCCTGCCGAGACGCCCAGGACACCGGAGACAGGGAGCCGCGGTGGAGGAAGAGTCACGTTTCCGAGAGGGAAGTGAAATAAAGAGGGCGGCACCCGGGGGGACCTGTGCGTCACTGAGGGGCCGCGGAGAGGCGCGGGCGCACGGGCGGGGAAGGAGAAGCGGGAGCGAGAAGCCGGGCGGCGGCACCTCGACGCGGCCGAGCGGCCCCCGCCTTCCTTCCCCGGCCGCGCCCCGTGCGCCCGCAGCCTCGCGGCGCAGCCTCCGCGCTCCGCGCTCCGCGCTCGGGATCCGGCCGGCGGGGCGCCCGGCGCGCGCGCAATGTGGCCGCGGACACGGCTCCGGCACCGCGCGCCCCGGCGCTGGGCGCCGGCGCTGGCGCTGCTGGCCCTGGGCGGCGCAGGGCTGTGCCTCGCCGTTCCGCAGCCCGCGCAGCCCGCGAGGCCCGGCGCCAGGAGCAAGTAAGTGCGCGGCCCCTCTCCTCGCGGCCGCCCCGGGCCCTGGGCCCCCGCCGACGCCTCCCCGACCCGCAGCCCGGCCCGCCGCGACTGCGCGGCCGAAGGCGACGAGCCGCAGCGGGGGCCCCGTGGGCTGCCCCGACGGCAGCTCCTCCCGGGGTGGGGGGCGGGGGCGTGCGCTCCGCGGCCCGCGAGAGGCGTCCCGGGTGGCGTCGCCCGCCCCTGGAGCCGCGGGGCGCCGGGAGTGTCGCGCAGAGCAGCGCGGTCAGAAGCAGCCTCCAGGAACCGCTGAAGCCCCCGGGACCGCAGGCGCTTCTCTCCTCCGCGTCTCTCGTCCGCTCCAGGCGCACGGGCCCCAGAGGCGCAGCCGCGCTCCCCCGGGACGGCCGCTTTGTGGCGCTCCCGCCTCCTTCCCGACCCCCGCTGGGTCCGCGGCTCGCCCCCGCCTCCCCCAGCCTCACCCTGTGGCCTCTCGCTCGCTCTCCCTCACCCCAGGAACTGGTGCGCCTACATCGTGAACAAGAACGTGAGCTGCTCTGTGCTGGAGGGAAGTGAGAGTTTTATTCAGGCTCAGTACAGCTGTGCCTGGAACCAGATGCCCTGTCCGTCCGCGCTGGTGTAAGTGCGGGGGCTGAGGGGCGGGCGGGGAGCGCACCGGGGCCCGGGCGGCGGGTGGCGGCGGGTGGCGGCGGGTGGCGGCGGAGCCTGGGGCTCCCCGGAGCGGGAGAAGCCGCCGCTGAAAAGCCGGAGCGCAGAGCCGGGTCTCGGGCGCGGGAGCGGCCCTGAGCGAGCACGGGGGATGCGCACGACTTGCGAGCCTGTGGTCACCGGGGCAGAGGAGGGGTGAGCAAAGCCCCCACCCCCACCCCCACCCCCACCCCTTTTTTTTCTTTCAATTTTATTACTAACATAAGGCAGCTGGACCTAATTAGATCCACATTGTGTGTTCTGGGGCACAGAGAAGATTCCAAAATGTATATATACCGCTAAGAACGTTGAAATGTAGGATTAGTCGAGAGGTTTGCTCTAGCCCGTGTCTTAACGCAGGCGACTTTCGTCCAAATGTCCCCATAAAACGCTCCTCTTCCACTCTTGTGGCTCTCTAAACTGAAGTCCCGGCAAGAACTTGCTTAAAAGTGAGAACCCGCCCCCCCCCTTTTTTTTCTTCTTCTTCTTTTTTTTTTATGTTTGATTTGGGGATTCAGCTAAGAGAAAATGGTCAGGAGAAAATGGTCATCTTTTTGATGAAAAGTAATCATCTTTTTTGCTTATAAAGATTTCACTATCTTAAAAAAAAAAAAAAAGCAGAGGAAACAATGCCGTAGAATACAGATTCCCTTAAATACCTCACACACATCCAGTTGTCTCCTGGCAAGCCTTCGTGTTTTTGTGTAAGTCGGTTATCAGAGGATGAGCGATGTGAATCGGTGGCTGTTGGGAACACATGTGATGGTTGAAATTAATTGTTTTCCCCTAAGAATAAGTTGTTTGTTTTAGGGCACAGTTGTCAGTACAGCAAAGACAGACCCAGTAGGCGGGTCTGTCTTTGGCAAAGCAAAGGGACAGACTGAAACTGTACTCCAGGAAACTTTTTTCCAGAAGGCAGTACATGAGCCTTCAGGCTTGTGGGGTGGACATGGTCTCTGGATCTTTCTACATGGGCTGTTATGGGGACTGCAAACAGGGAAGAGATAATTCCTGTTAGGCCAACAATAACAACAACAACCTAGAAGAGACCCTCACTTTCAAATATACAGAGAAACAGGCAGAAATGGAATCCGTGACTCACCGAATTGGGTTTGTCAGAGGACTGCAGTACTGTCATAATGCCTATCTCTGCTTGGTCATTTGGCCAGCAGTCAGTGAAATGAGAACCAAGTAAGATTTTTACATTGTGGTAGAGTCACAAACTAAGTATTCAACACAATTTGAATGGATTTATTTAAACTTAGAATTATTATTCAGAAACATTTCACTTGTTTTACTTAACTACATTTTGTGGTTTGCTATAACCTTAATACTTACTTGTGGCAACTCAGATACATGAATTTTTTCACTTGGAGAGGTAATGCTTTTCATTTAAAAGATGCTTTTTCAGGCGCCTGGGTGGCTCAGTCTGTTAAGCATCTGCCTGCTCAGGTCATGATCCTGGGGACCTGGGATGGAGCCCCACATTGGGCTCCCTGCTCAGCAGGAAATCTGCTTCTCCCTCTGCTCCTCCCCTGCTCATTCTCTCTCTTTCTCTCTCTCTCTCACACACATGCTTTCTCTCTCAAGTAAATAAAATCATAAGAAAAATAAAAGATGTTTTTTCCTTTAAATTTTCTGTAATTATTTTAGTGCTTGCAAAATTAAGTGATGATTTAATTGTTGTATTTGACCAAAACTCAGTGAAATAGATTCTTTGTCGTCATCGGGGAGCAAATCACCTCCAGATCAGCAGGTTAATGAAAGGCAGTTGGAGCATATTTTTGCCACCCTGTGGGAAGGACAACAAAAATTGCTATAAGAAACGACAGATGTTTTTATTGTTTTGTTAAATAAAACCAAAACAAGTGACCTGGGTGTTTTTCTTCAATAGTAGTCACCTAAAGAGTTCAAGTGTGTTTTTACATTTTAGATACTGCATTGTAGGTGTGAAATTCTAAAAATAAGAACAGGCTTTTAGCTAATCAAGCTGAAAATGTTGAAATAGTTAATTCAGTAAAGAGGAATGGCTTACCTTATTTTTCAGCTAGTAAGTGTTTCCTAAATTTTTATGATTGGTGGGAGATGGAAATCAAAGCCTCTTTACACTTAAAGAGAATGAATGGCTATTTACCATGGAATTTCCCAGTTGTGTTTCTGATGAATCCAGAAACCCTAGAAACTTTTCTCAATTCATGGGTCGTTGTAAGGTGAGGTCTTCATTATTGGATCTTAGAACCTGAGACATGTGGAAGCGAGAGTCCTTTGGAAACTCATCCACTTTCCAAGTGGTAGAAGTGCAGGGCTGGAGTGGCGGTTGGCTGAGATGCTGGAGCTAGAATGCAGTTTGGCAGCTGGTGCCAGCTGAGTGCCTGGGAGTAGCAGGTGTGTGCCAGCAAGGCCTGAGAGAGTTGGGGCGGGCAGAGTTTCTAGGGATGGTGGAGGGAGAGGAGGAAGAGGAGCCAGGAAGGGAGAGAGCAAAGCCCACTTTGGAGGAGGAAACTTCATCTTAGGGACCTCAGGGTCTAGAGAGGTCTGGAAGCTGAGGAGTCCAGTGAGGCCAGTGGCTTTAGCTAGCTGGAAGAATTTACTTCTGCAGAAAGGACAGTTTCAGGTCAATGTGGGCAGGCATTGCAACTTGTATGAGATTAGGGGAGTAAGTTGAGAAGAAACTCAGTTAACACAGGCATCAAATATGTTTCAAAGGCTTTGCTGGAAAAAGGGAGTTGATGGTAGCCAAGCAGATGAAGAATCACTTAGAAAATGTTGCATGTTCTAGGAAAGAAGTGGAAAACCCAAAGGAGACACTGAATATACTCTTAGACATAGGGGGAAATCAGCTAGGAAACGAGGTTTTATGGGGAACTCCGTAGAAATAAACGGACAACATCTATGCCTGGTCATGTTATTGGGTACTGAGCCTCTGTGGGCTGTAGAGACCTAGTACATGTGCATTTCCAGAAGGTTTAGACCTCGCCCCATTTGCCTACATGAAGAGCCTTCCGTTCCACACTGCAAATTTGGGCACTGTTATGTGAAACTAGGAGTGGAGGGGGTTTGCGTTATATGGGCATTGAGTCATTACTTTCCTTTCTTGTAACAGCCCTTCAAGATGAATACTGTGGTCCCCATTTTGCCAATGAGGAAGCAGAAACTAGATGTTCCCTAACTTATCTATGGTCTCATGACAGTAAGTGGCTGAGCTGCCCGCAAATCCAGGGTTCCTGGCCTTTGGCCCCATAGCAATGGAGAGTGCATTTGTTCGTTTTAACGTGTACTTTCAGTGGATTGCACCATACTCAACTATTAAGAAAAATTACACCTTCTTTCATGGAAGCCAATTCCCTGTAAAAGTGATTGAGAACTGTGTGTGTATGCGTGTGTGCTCAAATATCTTTATTGTGAGTTATTTGCTATGATGCATTGGACTGTATCATTTTTTGTAATGTCTGCTATGCTATACAGTTTCTTTTTAAACTTTTCTCCAGTTTTATTGAGATTTAATTGACATATAGCACTTCATAAATTTAAGATGTATAGCATAATGACTTATATATGTTGTGAAGTGATCGCCACAGTGAGTTAACATCCATCATCTCATAGAAACAAACAAAAAATGAAGTTTTTTCCTTGCGATGAGATGCTTAGGATCTACTCTCTTAACAGATTTCAAATATACCATACAGTGTTAACTACACTCATTATGTTGTATATTACATCCCCAGGACTTTATGTTACAACCAGAAGTTTGTACCTTGGCCACCTTCATCCATTTCCCTCCCACTCCACCTTTACCTCTGGTAACCACAAATCTTTTTCTGTGAGTTTGTGTTTTTTTTTAGATTCCATGTATATGTGAGAATATATACATACAGAATTTGTCTTTCTCTGACTTCCTTTACTTAGTATAATGCCCTCAGGGTCTATCCATGTCACATGGTAGGATTTTCTTTTTTTTAATGGCAGAATAGTAGTCCGTTGTGTGTATGCACGACAACTTCTTTATCCATTCATCAGTCAGTGGATGCCTAGGTGGTTCCCATGTCTACTGTAGATAATGTTTCTGTGAGCACGATGTGCAGAGATCAATGTTTAACATAGAATTTTTGTTGCCTTTGCACAGATACCAAGAAGTGAAATTGCGGGGTCATTTGGTACTTGTGTTTTTGACTTTTTGAGGAAACTCCATGCTATTTTCCATAGTGGCTGCATGGATTTACATTCCCACCCACAGCATACAAGGGGTCCCTTTCTCCACATCCTCAGCAGCATTTATGTCTTGTCCTTTTGATGTCTTATTTTAATAGTATCCAGGGCTTGAGTTGGATGAGAGTACCTCCCTGGAGCACATTATTGTAATGTGAGGAGCCCCTTCATCACCTTATATCTTTTTTTTTAAAAAAAAAAGATATTATTTATTTATTCATGAGAGACACAGAGAGAGAGAGAGGCAGAGACACAGGCAGAGGGAGAAGCAGGCCCCATGCAGGGAGCCCGACTTGGGACTCGATCCCGGGACTCCAGGATCAGGCCCTGGGCTGAAGGCGGCGCTAAACCGCTGAGCCATCCGGGTTGCCCATCACCTTATATCTTTAGAGCAACTCCATAGGGGCATTATCCCCATTCTACAGAAGGTCATTTAGTTAGGAAGTAGCTGGTCCTGGATCCAAATCCAGTCATATTTCCAAACCTTAGGTTCTTCCCCCTCCACATCTCACAGTTCCTTGGTGTCTGGACCCACATCCGAGGGTGCATGAGTGTGGTGCCTGCCACAGTGCATGCTGGGACATTGGCACCTCTGGTGAGATGGAAGGGTGAGGTGATGGTGTAAGATTTCCTAGATCCCCCTCTATGCAGGTTGGTGGTGTTTGGGTGGACTGCTGGTAGGAGACAGCACCGTCTTCTCCTTCTTGGACTAGGCATTGTTTCCT